CCCTAAACCCTAAACCCTAAACCCTAAACCCTAAACCCTAAACCCTAAACCCTAAACCCTAAACCCTAAACCTAAACCCTAAACCCTAAACCCTAAACCCTAAACCCTAAACCCTAAACCCTAAACCCTAAACCCTAAACCCTAAACCCTAAACCCTAAACCCTAAACCCTAAACCCTAAACCCTGAAACTGTAAACCTAAAATCGTAAACCCAAAACCATAAACTTGAAACCCTAGTCCCTAGACCCTAAACCCCAGACCTTAAACCCTGAAACCCTAAGCCCTAATCCTTAAGCCCTAAACCCTGAGCCTTGAACCCTGAACCTTGAAACCCCGAACCCTGAACCTAAAACGCTCAATCCTAAAACCCTCAACCTTAAACCTTAAATCCCAAACCCTAAATTCTAAAACCTAAACGCTAAACCCTTAAACCCCTAAAACCCTGAGCCTTTAATATCCTAAAACCCCAAACCCTGAACCCTTGAAACCTCAAACCCTTAATACCTTAAAACTCTAAACCCCAAGCCTCAAACCCTCAACCGCCAAAGCCTAACCCTTGAATCCTTAATCCTAAACCCCAAATCCTAAACCCTAAAACCCTAAACCCTAAACCTTGAACCATGATCCCTGAACCCTCAACTATCAACCCTCAACCCCAAACCTTAAATCCCAAACCCTAAATTCTAAACCCTAAACCCTGAACCCTGAACCCCTAAAACCCCAAACCCTTAATACCTTAAAACTCTAAACCCCAAGCCTCAAACCTTCAACTGCCAAACCCTAACCCCTGAACCCCTAATCCTAAACCTCAACCTCCAAACCCTAAACCCTAACCCTCCAACCTTAAGCCCTAGACCCTAGACCCTAAACCCGACAAACCCTAACCTTAGGGTTTGGAGTTTTAGGATTAGGGTTTGGGCCTTAAGGTTTGAGGTTTATTGTTTTTAGATTGGGATTTTAGGTTTGGAGTTTTGGATTTGTGGTTTTAAGATTACGATTTGGGGTTTGTTGTTTTGTGTTTGGAGTTTTAGGTTTGGTTTTTTGGTTTAGGCTTAGAGGTTTAGGGCATTCAAGTTAAGGTCTTAGGGTTAGGGTTTTAGGTTTTGGGATTTTGAGCTTTAGGTGTCAGCTTAAAGTTTAGAGTTTGGGATTTTTGAGTTTTTGGTTGGTGTTTGAGCTTCAAGGTATAGGATTTGGGCTAGGGGTTTGCACTTTCACATGTTAGATTGTTTTTATTTTTGTCTCTTGAGCTCAAGTATTTATATTTTAATGAGTTTTAAACTTGAGATCCCATTTTTTCCAAAGCTCTTCCTTAACTTTGTATTTATTCTTTTTGACTTTGGTTAATTCTATCTACCATTATAATAGTTGATACAAGATTCAATTCTTTATTACCATTATACTAGTGAGGTTAATTTGGATTTTGTTGGTTTTGGGTTTAGGGTTAGGGTTGTGGTTATTTCTTTTTAGTTTAGGGTTTCTTCCTAAATTACTATGATAGGTTGAATTTACTACATTTAATATTTTCTACCATAGTAGATCATCTTCTACTATGGCAATGGACCTTAAAAATGTGCTTGGTTGATAGAAAGCTTTTCTCTGCCATGGTAATGTTTTAAAATATTATTTTTATTTTTTTTATCATGATAAACTTTTGATTGCCATGATAGTGTTTTGAAAAGTGAATTGAATCTTGTATTACCATGATAAGCATTTACAAGTTGAGTTTTAAGTAAATGTGTTTTTTAAAATTTTAGAGTGTTATAGCAAGAAGCAGGCATGTGTTTCTCTATCTTTTATGAAATCATAATACACAGCTCAGTGATGATTTAAGAAGCAATATAGCTTATGAGGTTCCCATAATGGTTAAGAATAAACCAAGGAGAAAAGGGTCATATTCTAATGCGTTACTCTAGTCAAGCAGCAATAGCCTATGTTAAAGACCATAAGTATCACAATCTAACTAAACATATAGATATTAAGTATCACTTCATAAGAGATATGATTGCTAAAAACAAAGTAATTGTTTAGTACTAATAAAATCATAAGACGTTAGTTGATCTCTTACAAACTCATAGCTAGAGATCTATTTGTAAAACATGAAAAGGTTTTGGACATGTGTGGATTATGATGTATTGAACTTACTTATATCTATAAAATTTGCATTTTTCTTTTTTCATGTACATTTACAAAGGTATACAATATTTAATATGTTATACAGGTTAATAATGCCGATTCTCTCTCATGAACAACCACCTTCAATGCTTGTAAGGAACAAAAAATATGACCCATTATGTGATCACCTCCCACTTAGTGGGTATAGTGGAATGATTTAAAAAAATCACTAAATACATGTCATCTCAGTAAAAGTGATATAGAGATAAGATTTGAAACCTAATTTGAATCTAGTCATGGACATCCACAATTCATGATACCTACAGCTCTAATAAATTCCTAATTGAAGAGGTCATGAGAGTTGTAATTCATGGAGTTCTAGTTCAAATAAGTGTACCTAGAACATAAACATGTACGATATTAATAAACAAAATCCTTTATTGTGGTCATTTTAATGGATCAAGTATTAAGGAAGCAGTTGAATCAAACTTGATTGATATTTAATTTAAAAGAAATCTTATCCAAAAGAAAAAAAAAATTGTACTGGTGTCTGAGACATATTCGTTACAAATTATGTGGTTAGCTTACAAATTACATGGTACTTATAGGTATATAAGAAGACAGTTTAAGTTAGAGTCAGGTAATAAAACAATTTTTTTCAAAAAAAAAAATTGATGACTAGTCAAAGTTCTCAGTCAACGCTGCCCAACACTAATTAATGTGAGTCGAAACTTGAAAGCCATTTGGTATTTTACATGATAAATTAATTGTTTTTTTTTTTACCAACTACATGATAAATTAATTGTATCTTCACAAATTTCTTTGAACTTATTTTTTAAGTGCCTTAATTGAGACTTATTTTAACTTTTTTCTCGCTGGGGCCCATTTGATGGGGAATCAGTTCCTGGTTTGTTTCACACATCAGTCCATGCGGTTCCCATAAGCCAGAAAAAATTGTTGGTTTTACTCTTACCATTACTCTGCCGCTCGCTCGTTCCTTCTCTGTATCGCCCCTCCCCTTCTGCACTGCTTTTACAGATCCATTTCCCTATTGCGTCACTTTCTTCCTCCCAAAGTTCCTTCCTCGTCCTTTTCTCAGTCTCTCTCTTGGCTATCGACGGCAGCTCTCCCCCTCTCTCGGCGAAACAACTTCGACGCCAACCCTCCCTCTCCCTGTGTTAATTGTGTTCGACGGCGCCCTCGCTCGTCCCTATTCTCTCTCACGACTCCCATCCCCTCGAATCCGTGAACATCTAACTCATCTCCGCTGTTACGTGGCCGGTGGCTAGCCGCTGGTTAGTATCCGCATTCTTCTCTCTCTTTTCGTGGCTATTTTTCTTTCTTGGATTTGTTGTCTCTGAATGCAAATTCTGGATATATTGCTTTTTGGAACCGGAATTTTTAGTTTCTGAACTCATATTTTTGGAACTATAATATTCTCCTCTCTCGATATGAATGTAACTTGGAATTCTTGTTTCGCAGAGACGATGCGCTATAGTGGTAGATGAGAAATATTCATACCATGATTAATGCTTGGCCGTTATTTTGAAACGCAAAAGCAGCGTGGTTTTTATGGAAAACTGACTTTTCCTGAAAACTGTTGGCCACTCGAATTTTTCTTATGTGATTTGGGATCGAAACTTGATTTGGAGATTCAAAACTTGAAACCAAACATATACTTAGCAGTTAGCACTGGGCAACCTGGAGGTAAGGAAATTCAGAAATTGTGAGGGTTGGCCGTGGAGGAGAACTGCTAGTCTCTCTCTTGCAAGGAGAAGGGAAAATAAAAATGATGAACGACTGCCAAAAAAAAGAAAGATGAAAGAGAACGAGACAATACAAAAAAAGCGGGAGGGAGAAGGACAGAGGAATGGGTTGATGCTCCAATCCTCAGGCGATGAATTATTCGTTCATCATCTGTGGTTTTCACCAGGAACAATTTGTTTGGTGAATGCATAAGATTTAGGATAAAAAAAGTGTGGTGGTTTGATACATACGTAAAAATTTTCATTTACATGATATGACGCGTTGTGGTTCATTCTGTGTAAATTTGAGAGATGGAATACAGCCGTGGTTACGCGATTATGATAGGCTACAATCATTTGCTGTCGTTCTAATATATATTCAGGTACTACTACTTCTCTATCTTTCTCTTGTTATCAATAAAAGTTGTTCCTGTTTAAGAACGAACCACAGTATCGGGATGTTTATTTCAATTTCAAAATCAAAATGCAAGATTGGCTGTGCGTTAATTGGATCGCTGGGAGCACAATACAATGGGGTGTTGCTTATTAATTTGGCAGTCGCATTGTTTGCTTTGGTTGCAATCGAGAGTAGCAGTCAAAGCCTCGGCCGTACATATGCGATTCTCCTATTCTGTGCTATTTTACTTGATATCTCTTGGTTCATTCTCTTCACTCATGAAATTTGGTATGTTCATTTCTGCCCTCTTTCAATTTCAATTTGCATTTCTTATATTTAATTTCTGTTGTGCTAAAGGTCTCTTCAGGTTGTATCCATCTTATGCTAGACTTGATAGATATCCTGATTCTTTTCATGTCTGGAATACATTTAGACTCTATGATGGTTAACACATTTTTTCATTTGCTATTTTATTTCAAGTGAATTGATAGGACTCTAAAGTGTTTATTTTAGTTGATTCACTTATGATATTCATGTATGACATTCATTTTTCTGATGATTGGGTTATGCACTAGCTGCTTTGTATAGGTTATTATAGGTACTACAATGAAGGAAGGGTCAATTAAAGCATTATTTGATACAATAGGTTGTTAAGTTGCTATTTCATATACTTTCGCTGTTGATGACATCAACTTAAGCACTTATAAGTTATGGATAATGTGGTTTACTGCATATTCCATATGAATGGGCACACGATTTACTTTTATTTTTAATAATTTTGTTTGCTAGCATGACTCATTGCTGTCCTTAGTAGTAAAGATATAATAATTTGTAGGAGTCAAATAATTTACTTCTTTTTGTTAAACAAGTGATCATGTCCGTTAATTTTTGATGTAAATCATAATTGATGTTTGCAGGAACATTCCTACTGAGGATTATACAACTTTTTTCATATTCTCAGTGAAACTTACTCTGGCTATGCAAATTATTGGTTTTGCTGTGAGGTTATTATCCTCATTGTTATGGATACAGATTTATAGGCTGGGAGCTTATGTAGACACAACTTCTCGAGAAGCAGATTCTGACCTAAGAAATAGTTTTTTGAGTCCTACAACACCTGCTTTAGTTAGGCAGTGTTCGAGTTCCAATGAGATACTTGGGGGCTCTATCTATGATCCAGCTTACTTCTCATCCTTGTTTGAGGATGGCCAAGAGAACAAATGTTTATTTGGGGTATGCTATATTTTGCGAGGGACCCTATATTTGTATGCATGCTTTTGGATGGTTTGATTTCAATGCCAACTGACATGGCAAACATTTTGTGCAATTTTCTCATCATTAGTGCATGATCCATAGGAAATTTATTGAGTTCTTTTTTGTTTGTATGAAGCATGGGATGACATTCTATGGATATTCTTTTTAATGTTAAGAAAATGATAGGTCTTAGTTGTATGAGGTACTAGTAAGTGGAAAATCTTTGAGTCCAGGAGACTCCTTATGTATGCAATTGTTGAAGGACTATCACACAATAAATCAATATTATAGTTTTACTTAGAATTGTTTGAGGGAGGTCTCAATTGCTGACTTATAGACGTTTTGTAATACTCATTTGAGCTAATGAGCGTGTGATTTTGTTATTTATTTCAAGAGGATCACGTGTCTTCATTTTTCTATTTTCCTCCACTCAATTTTTATTATTGGCATAGAAATAATGCTTTGCTTCATCTAATTTCATTTGATAGAAAATTACATATATTGGAAAACCTAGGTTTACAGAGGTTATATGAATAAACTAATCATATCTAGGCATATCGTATACAACACTTCCCCTCAAGCTGGAGAATAGATGTCAATCATTCCCAGCTTGCTCATTAAGTTCTCAAATTTGGGCTTGGCAATGGACTTGTTAAAAATATCTAAAATTTGCATGCTTGCAGGTATGTGCTTCGCTTCAACTTGTTTGCTGTCAATTTTTTCTTCACTGAAGTGTTGGTCAATTTTAACATGTTTGATCCCTATTATGAATTGGATTCTTTACAATCCCAGTTGTAACCAGATTGTGATTGTCACATAAGAACCTCTAGTAGTAAACCATACTAGGATGACTCTCACGGGAGTGCAACAAGTTTATTTCATTAATAATAGACTCTGAAACAAAAGATGCAGAAGATAAAGTCCTAATACAAGAAGTAGTCTTCACATTAGCAAGCCAAGTCTGAAAATAGTGGACATCACCATCACACTCACACCGGCCAATCATCCTCCCCGACCTCATATCTTCAAAAGTGCAACCATTTGACTGAAAATTAGCATTGACCAAATTATGAAGGGTAAGCTTTCCTGTGGACAGCGAGTTACAAGCAAGTTTGGGAATATAAAGAGCATCATGTAGTAGTACTCACTTTTGGTGTTTTCTCCTTATCAAATTGGCTGAGAAGTTCATGAAGTTTATCCTTCAATTGAGAGTGGTCAAGAGAAGAAGAATCATCACCTTGGGCTGCATGGCCTTCACACTCTCTACATCCTTTATTTTTGTCATTGGAAGGGCACCCATGAATTTTGCAACATGTATCGCAAGTGTTCCTAGGTTGCTATAGTGACCCACCATGGTACCACCATAGCAGATAATTCACTATTAATACGAGCGAGAGAATCAGCAAAGACTCGCTTTTGACTCTCCTCTTACTTAATGACAAAGGAAACTTTGCAAATTGAAGGGAGTTGAGAAAGATTTAGAAGTTGACTACAAACTTCCTTGTATTCTGGATTCAAGCCCAAAGGAAATTTATATGCTCACTTTGTTTCAACTAAAACTTGGTGATATTGAGCATCCTCAATATAGGACCACACATGGACTTCATACAGATTAATTTGTTGCCAAAGTTGAGTAAGAGTACTGTAGTAGACGGTGACAGTCATAGTACCTTGTTTAAGCTTATGGAGATGTCCTTTAATTTCAAAGGAGCAAGGTTGTGTTTGAGACGAAGGAGTACAGCTCACATGCAAAATTTCCGGTGTAGTTTTGTAAAGAATAAAATTTTTTCCACTCTCCAAAGTCATTGACTTAACCTACCTGGACATAACTTGATTATTCTCGGCCCTCCATGTTTTGTCCTTGGCATTCGAAGCATCAAGTTGAGTTGCACAACCATCAATATGTTCTTGTTTCCCACGATCATGGATGAACATGAGGGAAGATTGAGACCATTGTAAGTAGTTGTGTCCATTGAATTTGTGTCTTGTGATGAGACTAGAAATATCGCCAAAGACATGTGACAGTGTTGATTGTTGAACCATTTGGATGATTTGAGGAGGTGACTTAGACCTTTTTGTGTCTGTGAGTCGCATGTCTCAATCTCAGCAGCATAGGCCTAGTAGTGGCCAAGTTGCAGGTAGTCAACCATGGCAAAACACAATGAAGCTCGTCTTCGATGGAAGCTTGCATAGCTCGTGTGTGATGGATGGTGTCACGATATAGGATCAGACTAGGCACTTTGATACCATATTATTAACAGAGAAATAATGCTCTGCTTCATCTTATTTTATTCAATAAAAATTCCATATATAGGAAAATCTGGGTTTATAGAGATTAAACGAATAATCTAATCATAACTAGCTATGTCCTAAGCAATCACATCTAAATGGAAATGATCATAAAGCTGTGTTATGGGCTTGGCCTCAGACTGTCAACTTCCAACAATTTTTTTAATAAAAAAATAATATTATAGATACATATGTTCTAAATAAAAATATGATATGAGATAGGCAATATCTGATAAGGTTAACTAAAATTCAATTTCTGTAAGTCTTATATAGATAACATCTGATGGTTGCATCCTATAAGAGGTAAAATTCAATTACAAACCATCATGGGATGAGTTTGTACTTGATAATTGACGGGTTGTAATAATTTTAAAGAAAAATGCATTAGGATAAGGGTACATTGATGAATCTTAAAGTTATTTCTGATGAGAGGTGCTTCTGTGCAATGGAAGCTCAATTGTTAGGATGCTTGAAGCGGGCAGTCTGATAATTTTCTTATGAATAATTCATATCCCTCTTTTGTAGTTTGTTTTTCTTGTTGTAATATGATTCTTAAACTTCTGTAGTTTGGCTTGCAATTTTGTTTAAACCTTATATGAATTTGATTGTCATAGCTAGTGGAGTTTACTATGGCAAGCTTCATATAGTTTCTTGGATTTAGCAGCTCAGGATTTTGGTGTGCACGTTTTTTTTTTTTTTTGGTGCCATTTGTAGATGCACGATCAAGATACTATTAAGAATGAGTCAAGTTCAGCTGTTGAAGATTCTCAAAAGTCACTTGCAGACAGATCTTTGCAGGTTGTGGATGTAAGTATATGATTATTTGCTTTTTTCCGTAGTCTATTAGCTTTGAAACATCATCATCAAGTATTACTAAGCCTATTCTACTCTGCTCTCATATTTGCAAAGAATCTATTAAATAATATTTTGAGGCTGTACTTCGTTAATATTCATTGGAAAACAAGTAAGGTCCAGCTAAGTAACCATGTAACAAGAGATTACATGTTAACAACTATATTTCCTACCATCATTCACCAACTCCTTACACCAAGGGGGGGGGGATCAAATTTCCTCATGGAGAGATACTTAGGTTGAGATCCTTCCGACTTGTCACTAGGATACAGCTTGAGGTCCATTCAATGCTTTAGTGGAAATATTCCCTAGCTGATCTCTAGTCCTTACTTCCACTTGAATCTCTTCTTGAATAAAATGGCAATCAATTTCAATATGCTTGGTTGTTCATGGTGCATATTAAGGCAATGTTTAGAATAACTTGGATGTCACCCCATAGCTTTTAAAGTAGTGAGATTTTAATATCAATCTTGTTTGAGAATTGATATATCTACACAATCTTTCAAATTGAGCGGGATGTAGCTCAATATTTTGATTTTGCACTTGATCATGGCACAACACTTTGTTTATTACTTCTTCATGATACAAAGAAAAACACTTGCGCTGTAGTGACCATCTATCAACCTTGGATCTTGTCTAATTCGCCTAAGTAAAGCATTCAATTTTAGTGTGCTCATGATTTCCATACAATTAGTTAACCATGTGCTGGAGCTCCTTTCAGATAACAAAGGATTTGTTCTAAAGCTGCCCATTCAGTGATAGTCGAAGAAGACAAATTGATTGACTACACTAGAATGCAATGTTAAGGTGAGTCACAATACTAATTTAGTTTCCCTACCAATTTTATATTTCTTACGACCTTCAAATGGCTCCCCATCATTCTTGACAAGTTGTAAGTCACAAGTTATTGGGCGAACTGCGTGGTTTACCTTCCAACTTTCTTGTTTCTGTCAAGGAAATGACATACTTTCATTGAAATAATAACATACCTTTTTGCTATAACCAAAAAAAAAAAAAATCTCACTTTCTTTAACTCCCAAGGAATATTTTAATGGCCCCTTATGCTTGGTTTGAAAGTGAGAGTGAAGAAAGGTTTTAAGGGATGTAATTCATAAAGTGTCATTCTCGGTAATGATAATGTCATTGTCATACACAGTAGTTAGAATTACGCAAGCAACCATCCATTTATAGAACATAAAGTAATCATGCTTGTTATCACGCTTTTGCTCATCCCATATTTCATAGGCGTGTCCTTTATATGGTGAAGAGTCTCCTCATCTTTCCCAGCAAGCAACTTGCATACTGTTGCAATGGTCGTCTTTCTCTTTTCAACAATCCAAACTTCCTCCTTTGATGCTTTTGTCCTCTTATCTTTTACATGGTGTTTTTTTGACAGAAGAATAAGAGGCTAATTTTCATTCTGATATGGCAGGCCCAATTTTTCAGCATGGTTATGCGACAATTTTTTTGCTTCCTTCTAGTTTTTGACATTGGGTGTATGGTAAATTTTCACATTGGTTTAGCGTTGAAGTTGGTATAGAATGGTTCCCCTCTGGTGCAGAATACTGTTCTGCAAACTTGGCTCTCTACATCTTATGGGCCATGTCCACTAGCTGCCTATGATTGGTGAAGTTATATTTGGTATCAAGTTGGATCAACACCCTTATTTGGATGTAAAAACTGTTATGGCCCACCAATTCTCTCCCTCTTTAGTTTTGCTTTTCTACCCTTTAATTAACCTAACTCAATCTAGGACTCAATTTTCTCCTCCTCTTTATTGTCATGTTCTTCGTCCTTTGCTGTCGACAGAGTTCTCAAGTGCTTTGCCCATCTTTACTTTGCTTCACCTCCACGTTTGAGGTGATGTAGGATAGTAAAATCTCATTTAGAGGATGTGATGTGTTTTAGTTCATGTGGATGTTTGTTGTTAGCTTGATTCTCTTACAATTCAGTCTTTAACAGTGCTTATCACGCATCCTTGACTATCCTGGACTATTCAGTCTTTATGCAATTTTGATCCTTACTATTAACTGGATTGCTAGGTTGTAGGCCGATGACATACCTTTAGAGTTCAAGGGAGAATAGTGCTGGTGGAATCCAACCTAACCTCAGATTTTAGAATTTCTAGATTTAATTCAGATTCTACAAAGGAAATAACAAGGAAATACACAAGCACACCAGTTCTATGCTTTTGAGAGGCAAAGACTCTCCCCAACATACCCACTCACAACTAGTCCTATGCTTTTGAGAGGCATAGTGTGATAGCACCCTATTACCCTAACAATGACCAAAACTGCCATGGTAATCATGCAGCTAACCCAAACAGATTACCATTGGCACCAACAAAAATTTTTAACTGCAGTTATTTAAAACTAACCATCATAGAAATAAAAAGACCAATGCAAAGGTTTACTATGGTTGAGAAGTTTAAAGCCAACAAAATTAAACCTTAAATGCACACTATTCTACCATAGAATAGTTCAAAAGCAAGTAAATAAAACTATGAAAACCCATTTAATCAAACTCAAGTTTAGACATCGGTAACAAATATGGGATCCCAAGTTTGAACAACTCAAATATCACAATCTAAGCACTAGTAAGTTTAAATTAGAGTTAGAAATTATGTAGATGCATGGGATACCATTTAGCTTTTAAAGAATACTAGAAAGAAGGTCAAAAACGTCATTTCACAACAAGATAGGCTGTTTGCTGCGCCTAACAAGCCTCTATGTTATACACCGCAACACATTGCAGAGTGTAACAGCATCTTGCTATCATGAGACATATCCAAGGCTGAATTCCCAACGTGCTCGAATTTTCCGTCCAACATTCGATTAATGCAATTTAGGTGTCCATAAAAAACTTTTTTCATAAACTTGCTAATGATATTATACTTCCAAATTATTTCACACTAAAAAGTTAAATACCTAAATGCATTTAAACAACTTTTCACACTTTATAGCAACTAGGGTGTCCAAAATTCACCCCAAGTGGTAAAATCTCAACTCAACACCTTGACCACACTCAATAGACTTTAGACAACTTATGCAACACACCACAACAATCACAAAGCTCATGCAACTCATTTTTGACCCTCAACCCTGCTATCTCAAAAACAAGGGGGAGGTTTTCAATCACAAATCTCATTATATTCACTTACAATAAACCACATAATCATAATCATAGTTGCACCAATATTTTGGCCTTGCTCAAATAAATCAAATCAAATAACACATAACCTAGGTTTCAAAATACAACATTTTCTAACTAATCATACAAATGGTGTAAGTACATATCAAAATATGATCCTAATTGGCAATATCAAATTGAATTACACATATATAAGCTCAAAATACAAGAGACATAACTGTAGGAGTACCAATTGCCAAGCCTCAATTGCTTTCCTTTTGTCCTACTCAAAGATAAAGCCGGTAAAATGTTAGGTAGAGGGATGAGTGTAATTACTCAATAACTAAGGTATATTTAATTTATGCACATGCAAATCAATTAATTATAGATATGCAAAGTCATTCATAGATACAATATAACCCAAAATCACATCATATATTATCTTAGTCATAATCTTAACGATCATGTTACAAATATCAACTTCTTGATACAAACCCTAATTTAAAAATAGAGTAGAGAGGAAGAGGAATGGTAGGGAAGACTTACCTTGACAATTAAAAGCCCTAAATCCTCCAGAAAGTCCAATAATCCTGTGCCCTAATAGAGAGAATGACAAGCTCTTTGCTTCTCTTCTTCCTTTCTTTCCCATTCTATCAAGCTCGAAGGCTCACTTAATCAAAATTTTGACCATCTATCACGGCACACGAGCCATTTGCCACGATCAATGGTACAAAGAAGGCTACTTCTAGTCTTGCTTCTTTATTGGGCATAGGTGGCCAAACCCAACTCTGGACCTAATCCAAAGGTTGTAGACAAAGCCCAATAGATCTGTTAGCCATATCTAACCTTCCTCAAACCCACTTATGCTTAAATTCACCAAATGACTCTATTAGCTTAATAAATTGGGGAATAAATTTGAGAGAATGATAATTAAGTCCCAAGGTGAAGCTTGGCGTGATTCAATGAAATATTTATCTGGGGAATTCAAATATTATATGCTCTAATTTTTCCTTGAAATTGGCATCTTGGTAATCCATCCTTTTGAAGTTAAAAGGGCGTTGTCCTGCATAGATAGCCTGTCTAATGAAAAAGCATGATAAGGTTCCATGCTGTCATTTACTTCTCAGTTGTGAACAAGTGTTTATGGTTTAAACGCCAATTTTAAGAATCGTGCCTTGCCATATGGTTAGAAATTGAGACATGCAAGCACAAATTTCTTGCATTTCACGTTGACTTGTTCAAATAGTCTCTCATGGTCATCACGTCTGGACAGACAAATATTAAGTTATGAGCAAGTTTTTATGGTTCAAACGCAGTGTTTGCCAAATGCCAATTTTGTATTTGTAAGTTGTTTAACCTGCACAAGGCTTTTAAGAATCGTGCCTTGCCACTGCCCTTAATAATTAGTATCTACTTTGTTTCTGCAAAAAGAGTTAAAAGCTAATTTTGCCTTTGGTTTCCTCTGGTTCAATTTTGATTTTCTTGAAGATCTTTTATGTAAGGATTATCTTTTGATTGGTGATAAATTACATATTTAAGCTGTAGTTGTTCTCTAACTGTGTCCTTTCTCTGCTCCAACTTGTGCTGATCCTTGCAGGAAGAGAATGCATCAATCAAGATGGAAACTGTTTGAAAATATTGAAAATAAGCCCAAAATTTGCTGAAGCCTTGTTTTCGATGTACGCCCCCATTCTGGTGATTGTTGGCAGGTTTTTCCCTTGGTAAATGTTGCTGGGAAGGAGATAAGGCAAATAGTTGGGTTGGTTCTATGGCAGGGACGGAATTCAAAGTTTTTCATCAAAGCCAGAAAAAAAAAATCTGAGTTTGTAATTGTGAAATCAAGTTAAAGCCATTTTGGCTATAAAGATCTGGAAATTGGGGTTGAACATTACTCAGATACGCGCATGTGGGCTAGCAGTTTAACCCAATGCCTTGTCATTGCTCTTGTAGCATCTCGTTTGACTTTTGCATTAAGGGAGGGAAAGCTAGGATACAGATCCGTGTCCTAGGATTTAAGCCGAAGTTGTTTTAACTTTGTTTCATTTTTCTATTGGTTCATTAGGCAGTTGGTTAGTTTAGAATAAAGGGGTTACACAAGTGCAATGATGCCATTCAATTCTTATTTCTTTTATTTGTATAGTACTGTGCATTGGGAGACTTAGACAATCATAATATTTTCATTTGTCAAATTTCATTTCATAAGTGTTGAGTCCTGAAGATAAATGACAATTTCAAAGTAGCAAACAATTATTTTTACGAAGTAACTAAAATAGTGTCGAAAGTAACTTTTTTTTTTTTTTCATTTCCTACATTATTCTATTCATTCACTTAAAGAAAGTAGTTATTTATTATGCTGCAGTTGTCAATTACTTTGAGAGCATTAATTATAGTCATTTTGTGAAAAATAAATTAATATCAGATAAATCTCAAGGGATTTTAAAATAATGATCTCATTTTGTAGTCAACTTTTATCTTTTACCTACTTGAGTATGGTTTATTTGTCCTTCTGCCCTCAAACTATCCAAACTAATCATTTAATATCATATTGTAAAATTCATATTCTTCTAGCTAATTACAAGTTACACATCCAAAACTGATTTTAATTGAAATCATCAAAACACGTCACTTTTGTCCGAATCACTTTATAGACTCTAAACAATATTCACATTACAAAAAAATTAAATTAAATTCTAGGTAAAACTAAATTTGTAACTTCAATTATAATCGAACTCAATTTTACCAACTAAAATCCAAACACATAGTAATTTACATAACCCAAGATTAATCCATGCATTTGAAAAACTCAGCAGTGCTTAAGCATATCTCTTAGTTGAGTTTAGTGAAATACCAATAGAATTGGGTCTACTAGAAAAGGTTAGTGCTCATAACATAGCAAATTAAAATTTAAATCTCCATTAAGAGAGGTGTCTATATTTAGTGTTTAACTGTACAACAAATATAATTGTCTCCAATAAAAGAACACATACACAATATGTCTCTTCTTTAACCACTATATTTCAAAAGAGAATAGTTTGTATTATTGGCGCTGAGTTCTGAACCCATTTAATAAATCATATTGAAAGAGTTATCCATTTGAAACCTAAGAATATTGGAATCTGAATTAATTAATAGAAAAATAAAATAATTGTCAAAAAAGGTATTCTTAAATTTGATAACTATTTAATAAAGCAAGATCAATCACAAGGTTAATTTCACTTAAATGTTTCTCAAATAGTTGGGCTAACTCGGAAAGAAGGGGCTAAAAATTGGATATCAACATTGAACTTTTGAAATTTTAAATAATCAAATTAATTGTTTATAAAGATATACGAGTATAATTAATATTAATCTTAATGTATAAAGTTGTCAAATTAATTTAATATGTAAAGTCTATTAACTTTGCATACATAGGTGGATAAATAAAAATAAATTAGCTTTCAAATCATTTTAATTTTTATGAATATGGTTTATTATGATGTGTTTTATTCGTATATTTTTTTAAAAAAAATCTGATTCTGTATTTTTTCACCTAAACAATCACTTTTTTTCATTAATTTACATAGTTGTTATATTTTTATTATCCATATTGGTAAACTTTGATGATATTATATTCTCTTTAAATAAAACTTACTTAAATCAATTCTGTGAAAGTTCAAGACTCAAGGTTAATGCAGCAATGACCAAGGCGTTATTCTCCTCTAACGTATCTTACCATAGAAGCTTGGAGCTGAGTAATGCTCTTCGTTTCTCTTGCATTGGATCTTGACAAGTACCTAAGAGTACCAATCCTTCACAAGTGAGTGGATAAGAATACATACCAAGATGTTGTTGATAAGGTGAAAAAAAGGTTGACCAATTTGAAGGCTAATTCACTCGCTCTTATTGGGAGAACTATGGTGATCAATTCTATCACTTCTAGTATTCCCAATTACACCATGCAAATAGCTAGCATCACGACTACAACATGTGATGATTTAGAGAGGCCAAACTAAAACTTCCTTTGAGGTACTACTAATAAAAAGAGGAAAGTGCATCTGGTTGCTTGGGAGAAAGTTTGTAGACTTAAGACTCATGGAGGACTTGGAATCAAGCATGCACAACAAACAAATCAAGCTGGTCAGATGAAGCTTGGTTGGGGTATTATCAAACATCACGATGACCTTTGGGTTCAAGTTATAGGAAGTAAATATAAATGTGGTTCTAATATCCTTTTGACTATTAATAAGAAAAGACCAGGTTCTAATATATGGTTTGGAATTAAAGCCACTTAGGATTTTGTCTGAACTGGGACCGTTATTAGTGAAGATAGACAAGATGCTAGTTGGAAGTAGAACAAGAGTGCCAATTCTCATTCAAGTCTGCCTACAATAAAGTGGCTCAACATATAACTGATTACGATAGCACTTGGAAGCAACTCTGGAAGCGTCAAGTCCCGAAATGCTATAAGTATTTTGTTATGGTTATCATATCATACCAAGTGTCTTACTACTATAGGTCAAATGCAATGTGGAATGCTTGTGGATGTCTAGTGTGAGATCTATCGGGATGCTATGGAAGATCTCATCCATGTCTCATGAAATTATCCAACCACAAAAAGCTTTTGGATGGAACAACTTGCACATGAGGACAGAGCAAAGTTCTTTAGCATGAATATGCATTAGTGGATCAAATGAAATGTGCAATCCTAAAGAAAGAAGAGAGGCATTCCTTGGAGCTCTTTCATTTCTATTGTATGTTGGATCCTTTGGAGGAGATAGAATGAGAAGATCTTTCAAGACACAATCACTCTAAATGCTACTATCAATGCTCAGAGTCTAACAATTATAAATACTTTCAAAGAGTATCGAAGCAAGTTCACAAGAATCATGTGGCAGAGGCATACTAGCCCTATCCTTAGTGGAACTTGGTACCTACCTACTAATGGATGGAATAAATTGAATATGGATGCTGCCTATGTTGCAACTGAGAATATTTCTGGATATGGTGGTTTGATTTGCAATCATAAGGGAGAATTCTAGAATGGATTCATTTTTAGGATGAGTGATGAAAACCCACTACATGCTGAGTTATGGGCTTGTTTGTGGGGGTTTAAAGTTACTTGGAATCTTAGGTAAGAAAGATCATTCTTCAATCAAATTCCCTAGAAGTTATTGAAGCAATAAATGAAACAATCTCTCACTACTAACAAAACACCTTATGAAAGTGCTTATTTTGGGCCTACAAGAGCATTTTAGAAGCACTCCCTTAGCTAGCGCTCTCACGCTTATAAAATAATGCATGCATTTAATTGCTCTTAGTACTTCAATAAAAAAAAGAAGAAACTTGTAATTGGTAGAATGCACTTCTTGACAAACCTTCTACGTGGTGATATGTAATTAATTCCACTCAAAGAAAAGTGATCTAGTTAATTCCTTAAAGGAAAACTTCAAAAATGGAAATTGAAATTGAACTAGATATTCTTTTTGGGACTATGAGTACGAAATGGGAGAATAAATACGAAGTGTATGGGTGAAAATCATTTCAACTAACCCCTATTTAAATAGTTTTTTGTTTAAAATTGATAATTTAAAATTGCGGGTTCCTAATCATTATTTGGAGCCCAAAACATCATCTTCTGTGTGTGATTTTTTTTTTTTAAATTTTGTCTTAGTCCCATGAACAGTTCTTTTGAAGTGTTTTTTTGGGCCAACAAGGAACGGGTCATTAATGAGGAACTTTCATTAAGCTATTATATTTTTTCTCTTTAGATGTTCCTCTCATTATTTGAGGGAGCATTTCTAGTTATAAGCTATGATATAGGAGTGCTCTTAACAAAAAAAATTCAAAAGGTTCTGCTTCAAAATTTTAGGAGTGCTTTTTCTTAAAACGCTCTTAAATATGTGCTTGTAAAAGTTTTTATTTTTTTTAAGTAATGCCTCTCACTCAATCAGATTTTGGTGTTGTCTTTGAGATACAGCTCCTGTTGAATCATGATTGGAAAGTAAAAGTTTAAGGGATCTCTAGATATGCTAATGAAGCAACGAATATCCTTACAAAGAAAGCCTCATTATGCATAGCTGGGTTTCATCCTTTAAATTTTCCTCCTTATGACTTAATTCTTGTGATGTAACAAGATGCTTTTACTAGTGCATAGTTTTTTTCCTTTCTTATAAAGAAACAAGGATTAAATTGATAATCAAAATAAATTTAAAAAATTAAATTGACAAAAAATAAATTTAAAGGACTAAAATAAATGTAAAATAATAAACTTTTATTATTCACTTTGTATAAATTAAATAATTTGACGCAGTCATGATTTCATTTCCGAACTCAATAGCCTTGGTGTAATTAAGGAAGAAAAAATTGGCAAAAATAGCCATTTCGAAATGTCTCTCTGAAACCAGAAGGATCTTCGATCTGATTCTTCTGGGGATAAGGTTCGACTCAAGAAGATTCAAAGTGATATAATGATGATTCTGGATTAGTGGGGATTATTAGAATTAGGAAAACCTACATGATTCCAAAAGATGATACCGAAGTGTAAGAATTTGGATGTGGGCTTGGCGGAATAAAAAATTTAGGGTTGGAAAATGAGTTGCTTTCCGTGTTGTGCGTCGAAAGGAAAGAGCAATCGGAAGGCGCTGCAGAAGAGCATTAAGGAGTACAATGCTTCAAAATCTATAGCCTCATTTACCAACATTTCTTTTAAAAGTGGTTAGTTTCTTCTTCATTACTTAATTATGCAAATGTTGTTCGGGGTTAGTTTCTTTTTTATTATCAAAAACATGAGCTAGATCGGTTGTTTCCATCCGTACCACTTTGTACAAGGATTCAACAGGCAAGCTGACGAGAAAAAAACGTAGGAAAGAGAAAGAAATAAAACAAAATAAAAGCTAGAAATAAAGAAATCAAGAAATGATTGATGTAAAGATGTCGCAAGTCCCTCTTAATCAAATTGTGTACATCATGAATGCATCTTTTATTAGTATTATATTTTATATATATTGATATATTGATTGATACAATTTTATTGATATTAGCTAAGATAATTGTCCCAATAAGGATAATATTTGAGACAAAAGCTTTAATGCCCGATGAAAATATCATCGTAATAAAATAAAGGCCTGGAATGAAACTAAATGAACTGTGTTGCTGCAATTCATTAAAGCTCCAGTGGAGGCTGCTTCATGCATCATGAATTTAAGTTTTGTAATGAGTTTTTAAGATGTATACTAGCAAATAAAATAAAAGCATAAAGATTGATAATCATAATGTGTCGCCACATTCATAGTTATCTTTGAACATCCTACAGAGTTGCATTATTAATCCCTGCATCTGTTCTTTTGATTTATATTGTTCAGTTAAAAACATGTCTTCCTTTCCCCCATCCCATGAAAGAATAGCAATGAGGTGGCTTCCTTCAATAGTCAAAGATGTCACTGTAATTGATAAACCTCCTTGCTTGTAGTCAAAGATCTTCTGTTGTTAATCTTTATATTTCCCTTTCCTTTCCTTTCTTTCTTTTGGTGACATGAGTTAGTGGATTAGCCTTTTGAAACATTATGCCAAAACTTTTTCTTTTTCTAATTTTTTTTAAACAGACGCCAGTAGACAAAGGTACATAACTGAAGAAATTAAGAAGATTGGAAAAAGAAATATTACTGCTAAAATTTTCAGCTATCAAGAGCTATGCGTTGCAACTCAGGACTTTCACCAAGACAACTTGATTGGCGAAGGAGGCTTTGGCAGGGTATACAAAGGATATCTCGAAAGCACAAATCAAGTATAACTATATGTGACATCTCTAAGGCTTTGATTGATCATATATCAAGGATATATGGGGTTTATGTGAAGAAGTAAATATCGCATTTTTGACTTGTAGGTTGTTGCGGTGAAGCAACTTGATAGGAATGGATATCAAGGAAACAAAGAATTCCTTGTAGAGGTTTTGCTTTTGAGTCTCCTGGACCACCCCAACCTTGTCAATTTGGTAGGTTATTGTGCTGATGGTGATCAAAGAATTTTGGTCTATGAGTACATGGTCAATGGTTCTTTAGAAGATCACCTCCTTGGTAAGTTATATGAACTAATCACACACTCTAACAAAATATCCTTTTTAAACCCCTTTTTGTAAATCGGTTCATGCGCATGCAGTTTAGAAATTGAAGACAATTGCATTGTTATAAATAAATAGGAGGCTGGGATACTATATAAACCGATTTCATGAGTAACTGGTTTAGTAATTAATAGCTAAACTAGTTTAACTGTGTATTATATTTAACAATGTTATTTATTGTGGAGAGACATCTATACTTGTTGTAAAATTTAACCTATTTAGAATGCATATTTGAGAGGTAATGACCACAAAGATCTCCATGCACATGCATACCATAAGTTTATAATAAAAACAAGTTTTTTTAAATATTTTAAACCTTTCTCTTCCTATCTAATGTGCCCCTAAACTTTTAGAAAGTACATTCTAGCATATAGAACCTATATTCATTTGTTAACTCATGCATTTAAAAATAATAAATAAATGATATGTTAGCCAGGGGAAGAAATGGAAGATTACCATATCAATCTTGTGTCGTCCAAAGTGGCAAAGATATTAATTTTGATAAGTGGAGAACAGACAGAGGAATGTATATGCTGGAATGGAAATGTTCATAAGTTATTTGTAAATGCATAAAATTCAAGGTGTCATAATGGTATGTTCACACAATGGTTCACGGGCCAAAAGTCTCGTTAACTTTCCTGAAAAGGATTTATGCCTTGAAACGTTACGACCGAAGAAAGTGTGCAATGGGAAATGAACTTATACTTTGTGGCCTACGGTTTTAGATAGATATGTAATTGTTAATGGGCTAGGTGGTGTGTTTTAGTTTATGCCTACCCTCACCTTAAGCCCATCATTAGGGGGTATAATCCGAGTTTGATCTATGTTAACTTGCATAAAGTGCAATTTTTTGTTTGCCATTGACTTCTTTTTGTGGACTTGACAAATTTCCAAATTAATGGCATTTTCATCTCAATAATTGATCAAGATCATGTGTTGTACCCCTGTAGTAGTTACATTATTCTTATATTTAGTTTGTTAGAAATTCAATTCCTAGAGTTAATAATATATATGTATGTATGTATCTTTAAGCTTTTGAGTTGATTGGTTTACCCAAAAAAAAAAAAAAAAGACGTGTGATACGATATCATGAAATCATAAATTGGATCCAATTAGTATCTTAATATATATATATATATATATATTCGTCACAAATTATACTATTTATAGTTGCAAATAATAAAATTCATTACTCATTTATCAACTTCATGCAATACATGAGAGAATGTAACTAATAATAAAGTCTTGTTTGGCAATTTGCGTCAAAGAAAATAATTTGACCCACAAAAAATTGTCAGAATTAACTGAAGATGAAAAGCATTTGGATTGGGGTACTAGAATGACAATTGCTCAAGGTGCAGCGAAAGGACTAGAGTATTTACATGAGGTAGCAAACCCACCAGTGATATACAGGGATTTCAAGACATCAAACATACTATTGGACGAAGATTTTAATCCAAAACTCTCTGATTTTGGATTGGCAAAGCTTGGTCCAACTGGAGAACACTCTCATGTGTCCACAAAAGTAATGGGAACTTATGGTTATTGTGCTCCTGAGTATGCACTCACAGGACAACTAAGTACAAAGTCAGATGTATATAGTTTTGGAGTTGTCTTCTTAGAAATGATCTCGGGAAGAAGAGTGTTTGATCATTCAAGGCCAACTGCAGAGCAAAATTTAGTCCTTTGGGTATTTCTTCTAACTTTATTAAAATGTTATACGCCATCACATTATCTAGCACATGCACATAGACAATATTTTTTTATTCAGTGAACATAAAATCATTTTAAAATATATTTATATATATGATAAATATCTTTAATTATTGTAAATACAACAAACTCTTTAGGGAAAAAAAAGCTTTTACCATCTTATGTTGTGTTTTTCAATCCATTTCCCTGTTCTTCAGTTTAGTTATATGTGAATCAGTTGAGTCTAAGAATAAAAAAAGATTGTCTACTTTTTTATCCTACCGTATCTCTGCATGCATGTGTTGAAAGTGTGTAATAATATGTGAACATTAATTTGACGCTAGGAGATACTCCCCCCCCCCCCCCACCTTAATATTATCGAGATGCTTAAAAATGTACAAATATTAAAGTTTCGAAGCTGATCATGTTTAAGGCTCAATTGGCATGAAAGAAAAAAGAAGAGAATTTGCTTCCAGATATTTAAAAAATGAGATACGTAATATTTATTATATTTTTATAATGATTATTAGTAAATAATAATTATCTGTTTTTAATTCTTCCTTTCTATTCTTGCATGTCAAATGAGTACAACACTTAGATATCATCATAATGGTGACATTGAATATCATCATAGTGGAAACATATATATCAAGTTCTTTGCCTGTACTATGCTTTCTGCATGTTTTTGACAGTGTGTCATATAAAGTAGTTTCGGTGTTCAACATGACAACACAGTTTATGAATAAATAAAAATTGAGGGTTTGAGGTTGATGTTGCAGTCTTCTTTTCAGGCGCAACCACTATTGAAAGACAAAAGAAAGTTCACATTAATCGTTGATCCATTACTAGAAGATGATTACCCCATAAAGGGTTTGTACCAAGCTCTAGCAGTTGCAGCAATGTGTCTCCAAGAGGAAGCTTCTACTCGACCTTTGATTAGCGACGTAGTCTCCGCAATGGAGTTTCTGGCTATCAAGAATGTGAAAGGTGATGATGAAGAAAATGATGAGCATACTTTCGACTCTTCTTCTGAGGATGACAACAAGGACTGCAGCATTGGCGGCTATGAATCTGATAGCATACTTGATCGCAAAATACATAATTAAATGTAGAACCAATAATTTGGATAAGTCGACTTATTCAAGTTAGACTCAATTTGGGTCGAGATTATTTAAATTGAGTTTTAAATATTCTACCTTTTAATTTGGGTCGAGATTATTTAAATTGAGTTTTAAATATTCTACCTTTTTTAAAAAGTTCATATAATCAAGTCTGATCCTAACGTCTTTAGGCTTATTAGGGCTGACCTGAATATCCAAAATTTAAAAAAAAAAAATTTGCCTTCTTCAAACTAATTTTAATTTGTAATTTAAAAGTTTTTTTTTCAAACAATATAAACATAACATCGCATAGTAAAATACATGTAATAAATTATAAAAAATACATTAATATTAATATTAATAACAAAATTAGGAAGGTTAATTGCTTACATGCTAAAATCAGACAATAATCAGAAAGGCAGAAAAATCAAATAATGAAACATGCAGAAAGTCATAAACAACACAACTAATTTTAGAAAGGCTTGATCTTTCTCTTACACTAGTGCCAGTGCAACGTTATACATTGATTTTAACAACATCAAGCTTCTCATAACAGCTACGCTTGATCTTTCTTTTAAACAAGTGCTAGTGCAACGTAAGTCAGAGAATTGGCATAAAAAGGAGAAACGACACAACTACACTTGTTATTTCTTCAAGTTTAGAGATACAAAATCAAACTTGGAGAGAAGAATGAGAGTCTGAGAGGCGAATACGGTTGACGGCAGTACGACACAGAGCTTGAGAATAGAGCTTCGGAGATCAAAGCTTCGCTACTTCCGTTCCAAGTTCAGTCTTTCAAACAGGGAGCAAAGAGTGTTGTGGCCATCAGGAGAATGAGAAGTGAGAAAGAGAATGGAGAGATTGAGAATTGAGGGAGATCGACTAGGGTTAGGGCAGCCCGAAAGCACTGAAAAACTGAAGAAGTTGGAAGAACTGATTCTGAACGAGGGGCTATGAGCGATGGCGTGCGAGCTGTGCGACGGCTGACGGTTTGAGAGTTGAGCGACGGCGATGGCGTTAGGGGAAGGGTTCTTCGTTTTGGCAAGCGAGCAGGAGAGGAACTGAGGGAGAGCAGAGTCAGAGGGCAGAGCGCCATTTTTCTCTCGTGTCTGCGACTAACTCCGTGTGGTTGACGGGAACCCATGGTGCTCAGCACCAAAACACTGCCGTTTGGCAGTGTGTTTCTTTTTTTTTTCTTTTGCTTTTTTAAACCACAAATTTATTATAATAATAAATAATTATTTTAAAATTATTATTTTAATATTTAATAAACTAATAAATATTAAGATGTTAAAATTAAATATGAACAGATTAACTCATTACAATATGATTTGAACAGTTTATATATAAATTTTGATCTGAATAGTTCAAAACTGTATTGAAAATATCAAAATTATAAATAAAAATATTTTTTTATTTTATTGATTTTACACAGTTATTTATCTATGAGAGAAAATATCATTTAAGGCATACTCAGATATTACATATAGATACTTTTCTTAATAGAAATTTAAACATTGATTTATTACAGTATAAGAAACTGGCTCATTTTTTTAGATTTAACTCCCATTTTAAATTATTCAAATTAATTTTTATTTTTTCCAGTACAGTTCTCAATGCTCAGACTAAAATTTTTATTCAAACTATTCAGGTTTAATTTTAACATATTAATATTTATTAGTTTATTAAATATTAAAATAATAATTTTATAATAATTATTTATTATTATAATAAATTTGTGATTTAAAAAAAGTAAAAGAAGAAAAAACACTACCAAACGGCAGTGTTTTGGTGCTGAGCACCACGGTGCTCATCTTAAGATGAGCATCAAAACTGAGTCCGTGGTTGACACTGTATTGTGGGTTTCAACTTTCAAACTTTCAATTAAAATCAATTTACCATCTTTATTTTTTTTCTTTCTTTTTTTTAATTAATTGTATGCACGCATTCAGGCCACGCCTAAATGGGTTTGGGCTTGATCCGAATTTTATTGGGCCACGAATTAAAAAATAATTTTTTATTTAAGCTTGGTCTTAATTTTTTTTAAAACAAATTTGATTCAAATTATTAATTCTAATGAAATAAAATGAATATATTCTAATTGCAAGTGAAGTTTTTTCAACCAATCTATCAATTTTCTTCTCACTTGCAGTTTACTATTCTTGCAAATGAGGATAATTTTTCCCGGTAGCATAATAAGGATATTTTTTTTTTTGATTGAATAAGGATAAAATTTTTGAACTATTGATTTAAGTAATTAGTACCATATCTTCAAAATAAAAGTATTTCATATAAAAGAACTTTGAGAAGAAATATCACGAAAATGTAACATAATTTCACATGAATTGTGCTTCATTTTTTATTAAAATTATAGGGTTTATTAGATTTCTTATATTAAGTATATTTAAAGATAATACATTTCACCAAAGTAATTTAAGCCATTTAGATAGATACTTCTTAAGTTTGTGTATTTATGATATACCTTCTAATCTTTAGATTAATACTTCTTTTATGTTCTAATAATTCTTCTGCTACTTTTTTTTTCATTTTTCTTCTTCTTTTTACATGGGCTTGTACTTTTTTAGAGTCTCAAAGGCTTCAAATCTATTTAATTTCTTCTTCTTTTTCTTCTTCTTCCCTCTCTCTTTCTTTTTTTTTTTCAATCTCTTATTTTTTTTAATCTTTCATTCTTTCATTTTTTTTTCTTTTTTCATCTCTCTCTTCTTTTTGTTTTTTATTTTTTGTCTCCGATCAAATGGCTCTAATATCATATTAAATTTTTTTATACTAACTATTAAGTATGCTTAAGGATAGTATATTTCACAAAAGTAGCTTAAGTCATTTGGATAAATACTTTTTAAACTTATATATTTATAATATATATTTTAATTTTTAGATGCGAGACTTCTTTTATGTTTTAATAAGGATCATTTTATTTCCAAAACTTATATGATTTTGTTAAAAAAATAAAATAAAATTACTTAGACTACTCTTTCAGTTTCAAAGCTCAAAGATACTTTTGAAAATAAAAATAAGTTACACGCAGTACGTTTTTTTTTTTTTTTTGCATTTTGTTGAAATTATGTAAATTATCTTTCAATTATCAACAGAGGTTTGTGTATATCTTGAAGATAGAAAAGATTTCAATAATTTAAACAAATTCAGAAAAATTGTATTATTTATTATTCATTTTTGAGGGAGTATATGCGAATTTGGAAAATAAATGAGGCTTATATAATTCTAATTTCAAAAGGCCTGTGATAATTATGATATTATATAGTTGTGAACCGCAAAAGATTTCTTATAAATGAAACTCTTCAATTCATTAAAAAAAAAAAAAGAAATCATGTTATGATGCAAATGACTAATAGATTTTTAAAAAAATGACTTATAAATGTCACTCTCAACAAGTACAAGATGAGACTGGTAAAGAGGGTTTTGTAAGCCCCTGCACTTGCTAAATGAAAACTTAACTGAATATTATAGTAATAAAAAAATTTAAACATATAAAATAATCACCATGGTATAAAAGGTAATCATGGTGAAAAATAATTATTAAACTTAATTTTAGAGCTACTATAATTATAAAAATTTTGGAGAATCGTAGACAAAGTTTTCAAAAGCAACAAATTTAGAGATAAGGCCCAATTGAATATGATATTCTACTGCATACTTGAGAACTTCATTTGCAATTATGTTCATTGCTAAAATGACCATATTGCCCCCACGTTTGAAAAACTGAAATATCATGGTTTCATGGCCGTTGTTTGACTTCGTATTTCCTTCCTTCTATTCTTCTTCCTTACTCTTCCTTCTTTCTCTTCCTCTTCTGACATCAAACCTCTCCTCAAGCTCAAACAATCTGTCACCAATGTTGCCTCCCTTTTTTATCGGGTCCCTAATTCTTCCCCTACTTTGTCCGATAGACCAAAATCATTTGTGACAACAACACAATCACCGATCTTCACCTTTCTAACTTGGGTCTTTTCGGCAAAGTCATCACTGACGCTACGTTTGAGATTTTTGGCCCCATACAATCAACCCTTATATGTTTTGGATAAAGTTGCTTACTTTGTGTGCGTGTATCAAACATGAAAGCAAGAGCTTATGGGTTTATTTGATCATGTATATATCAGACATAAAAAGAAACCCTTCTACCTTTCGTGCAGCACTAAATTATCCATACCTAACATACATGTTTATGTTCATTCAATAAAAGCAAGTTCTTATTTATGAATTTTTTGTTGTATTTTTTTTCCCGGTTAACTATGCATAGATATGTCAAAACCACATGAGCATGATAAACGGATATTTTCTTAAAAATAATTGGACTTTAATTGTAATTTATGGAGCTTTTGTTGTAAATTTTATCTAAGTAACTTGTAAAAAATACACCGCAATGTTTTCCTTAAAATTTACATTTTAAAACACTAATAAAAAATTTACTTAAGACATCATTGACACAATCATAAAGTCATCCTAATTCCATTTACATTTACATGTTATATAAAGACTTTCAGTTCCTGAGAAGATATGGAGTATAAACCCCCATAGATAGTTGTAGTTAAATGAACATTTTGTTGTAAATAAATGAATTGTAACTATTATTTATGGACCTCATGTTGTAAATTTCATGTGAGTTACTTGTTACTTTTATCCTGTTCAACTACAAATATGAATAAATGAACTGTTTGTCACAAATTAATGGACTTTTCTTGTTATTTATAAGCTTTATGTTGTAAAATGAATATGGGTAATTTGTGCATTTCATTGAAAATAATTTCACCAACACACCATAGTAAGTGTTCCAAAAAATATATATATATACCACAACTTTTCCCCTATATTGTGGTATGTTTTTTACAAGTTATCTAGATGAAATTTACAATTAAGGGTATATAAGTAACAATTAAAATCTAATTATTTTTAGTGAAATGTCTTTTTGTCGAGCTCATGATTTTGACAGTTGAGCATTGTAATGACTTTCGTCATTAACCTAACTTTAACTCAACTAAGCAACCAACTCTTATAATTAAGGATCAACCATGGCTACGATAAATTAAATCAAAAGCCTAAAAATTATTTGTGAAGATTGGGTCTCAA